TCAGTGGAAGGCTTTGGAAAGCTTAGAAGGTTAATGCGTTGTGTGGGCAGGGACCTTCCCGGTTGCCCAGACCGAGGAAGTGGGTTGACTTTTGGGACTCCACTCCGAGCCTTGTGTTATGAAGACCTGACCCACATGGCAGCGGGGCGAGTAACGAAGTCTGTTGACATCCGGGTAGCTCATTCGCCTTCTTTGTGTTCAGTAGCAGTCCACAGAGAAGCCGGTGGCCAACAAGGTGGTTCATCCGCCCTCCGTTAGGTACTCACTTCTGGTTACAGAAGTGAGTGGTCAGTAACCCTGTAGCCGGTCCCATTGGCTTTGACACTGCGCCGTGCGAGCTCTTGTGTTATTTGATGGAGAACAAGGTGACTAGCCCATTACTCTTCACGCTCTGAGACGCTGCCGCTGATTATCCGCGACTGCTTATTCATCTCGCCTGCAAGGCAAACGAGGCTTATTCGCAGTTACCTCCACAAGTAAGACATTCCTCAATCCGCGATCTGGGGACGCAACCGATAGCGCACAGCCCCATACGTCTACCCATTTGGAGATCCTAGAATGGCGAACACCATTGGCTTATAGCGCTCGAAGCAATAGCTCTAAACCGGATGCGGTGGAAGCAATGCATATAATTTTGCGTGAACCCCGATCCCAAAGGCATTGACTCTTAGAAAAGATAAAAAGGCAAACCGACGTGAAAAAGTGAAATATATGGATGTTCTTCATTTCTCCTTGATATTAGTTCTTTTTTCCAAGTGCTGTATATATTACTTTTTCCTTGCTTCCTAACTCCATGGCTTCGAATGGCTCGATGTGTATCCCCATAACTTCATATATATATATATATATATATATATATATATATATATATATATATATATATATATATATGATTGATTTGGCGGCGTCCGTATCCGGATTTGCCTGTCACTGTGATGTCCATGGGGACAGTCACAGGACGCCTGCGCCTACAGAGGGACCATGGGTGGCTTGCGCTGCACCACCCATAGTTCCATCCACACACCCCATATCCGGTGTAAACCCGAAGGAATAAGACCGGGAGGCATGCGGATGGGAGCCACGTTTCATCAACGGAGCCGGCCCACACTCCTTCAGCAAGCAGAACGGAAGCATTCCGGCCTAATTGGGAATTCATACACACCAGACGTACACGAGGCGGTGGCTGGACCGTAGCCCGTTCCACACAGGTTGCATGGAACCACTCTTTGAGCCTAGCACCGTCACGAGGACGGTGCACTCCGTCCCCTCCAGCGACGACCAACTGTCTCCTGGAGCCAGTATGGACGAGGTAGTGGGTAATAGACAGGTAGGCACCTTGTCAACATTCACATCAGGCGCATCCACACAGGGGAGCTCAAGCAACATCTACTTCTGAAATGCAAGATTATTCATCACGCAGGCAAACGTACCACATACGCTGCCTTATTGGCCTGGATTAGTAAATTGAATGGGAACATACTCATGGTGCTTCTATTCCGCGTACAATTGTGCCTTCTCCGGCACCTGAGAAACCGCCCTTTTGAGTAGTTCACGGAATTCGCATCGATCAAATTTGCCTTGGATTCGCAACACCTGAAATCAACATGAGTTTGTCATAAACTCACCTTCTTCATGTTCTGGTAATATTATTTTCGGTTTGCTCGAATGTCGTTCTACTGCACTAAGTTAACCGTACAAAAGCGGTATGAAGATCCTCGTGGAATTCATTCGGTATACATATATACATAGATTGGCGTCATCTTTGTCCAATGGCAGTTCGAATGCAACATATGTACATGCGTTTATGCAAACTTAAGTGTGAGCTGTCACAAAGTGGATAGAGACACATTAGACATCATCATCAATGGTACGACAAACGTGTATGGGTTTCGTTTGGAGGTCAGGCTAACAACCACTTTTGCAGGTATGAGAATAACTACCCCATACGAACTGTTGATGTTTTCTTCCACATTTAGACGTGACTGCCTTAAATCTTGGGCATCCATATTTGAAGGAATCCGATGTGGCAATAGTAAAGCAACTGCTAGGTAGAATGATGACTAGACTATTGGTACAGTGAAATAGTGTGCACTTAGGTGTTGCCCTCTACATGTACAGTCTGGTTTGAGTAGCTGATGTGGGAGATCACACAGCATGCGAATGCGATACAGTGTCCACTTCTGGCTCTCTGTGTCTCCGACCGGTTCGGTCATGTGCTGCCCGAGGCATGTGCACCTACTCAAAGAACGATTGATGCGCAACCTTTGGTATTGACAAGTGACATCAACTAAGTCCCGCTGCCCACTGTCAAACATTCGACTTTCCAAACAGTGTTCACATTTATTGTGCAAATGTCCAAGTACTCAACCGTTTATACCTACCGACCTGTACTCTACTGTGGCCATAAGCTATTTGCTAACGGTCTATATCGTACGTTCCAGGTGCAGCCCATTCGGTACTCATAAAACCATTGTCGCTATGCGCCGATTCATTTCCGATGTTATATAATGACACACTGACGTACCATTCCCGTTAGATGCAACCTTTTATTTAATCCATTCAAAAGATTGGCCATGTGCAATGCAACTTCTGGTAGGCGTCTCCGCACGTCTGCCTTCCATCCGGTTAATACGTGTGTTTTCATAGGCCCCGGCAAATTCAGTATGGCTGAGGGATAACTGGAACTATAACTATACTCACTCTCTTCACTAGCCTGCGGAGTGGAACATGGAATGGCAATATCGTGATAATCGCTAGTCGGTTAATTGTCGGGATTGTTCACTTGACACAGATTTTCCAGGGAAATTTCTCTTCGAATGCATAATCCAAAGTGGTCACACGAAGGACAATCGTTGAGCATTGTGTTACAAATGTCAAATTTGACATTTTATGCGTACTGTAAACGGCCAAGCGATGATAACCTTTCGATTCAAACGTATCCATCGAACTGGAAACATACACAATAATTTGCCACCCTAGCATTGATCCGTAGCAAGCACACAAATCGCTCGGAAATACCGCACTCACATCAATTACGAATGAGCTCATGGATGGACTGAACCATTATTCTGCGATGCACCGGATCTCTAAGCATCAGGCAAGTTAGCATTGAGCAGCTAGTCAAGCTACAGTTATGGTGAGCAATACCATGGAGCTGACATAGTGATATGAATCGCGGCCGAATAATAATACGAAAATGAAGATGTCATAGCTCACTCTCGGTATGTAACCATACTAGACGCCGCTTGCGGAGGTAGCAAGAATAGCATAGCATAGATCATGATGAGTACAATATCGTAATGGGCAACACATGAAGTCATCGCGAAATACAACCGGGTTAAATAAGCCTAAAAAAGTTAGGTTACCTGTGGCTTATCCATTCTATGCAGGTGCAATAAAGATACCACATTGCACCAAGTCGGTAGTTAATCATTCTAGAATGAAACTACACCCAAGCCCGACTTACACGCGGTATATAGAATAAGGATGACACCAAAATGAATGACGGAGATGGCGTAAGCAACTTTTCAAGTTAGCAGGGAAATGATGCGATTATGTCCACTGCAGGCTATCCGTGTCGTAAAGTAAAACCAGAGCCGGTTCTAATCGTCTATTGTCCGAGGTAAGCGAGAATCAACAGGGAGGTAGAACCACCAAGCAGTCCGTCATGTGTTACTATTTATTTCCCCCTGGTCATTCGTTCGGACCGCTAACATATCTCGACCAATCCATCAGTGTCTAGAATACTACCTATGCCCATGCATTTCGATTCGGATGTTACAACGTATTGCCGCTGCTCCGGGAATCAACCTAGATGACTTGTCTGAATCTCAGTGCGTTTACCTGAAGGCGGCAGCAGTACAGTGGGGCGTATAGAGACACTTGAGATGAGATACATTGACTTCATATTGCAACCCCTAATAAGTCACGATGTCACACGAGAAGAAATGTAATAACATCCATCTGTCAAGTGGGAATGTATCGAAACACGAACAGATGTTAGCGGGATTTGTACTTTAGGCGAGTCCCATTTAGACATCGAGCCAGCAGATAATGGTGTTACGCGAGTGAAAATGCCATCAGTCTGTCAGGCTGAAGTGTGGTGCTTATAACTGTTTCTAAATGGCTTCCACTTAGTCATTCAACGTGAGATATCAGTTGGCACACCAAAGGTCCTTGGTTCGAGTTACAGTACTGCAATGTTGCGAACGTGCATTTGTTCACACTTGTGTATGGACTACCACAAACTGGAGGAGGAAATAATAACCGTCATGAATCATAGCCCAACGTACGTGCATGAGTTTGGATTGAATGAAAGAAGAACAGCCATATTGCTCTAGTTTTAGAAAATCGCACTGTCAGTGGTTAGTTAGCGTTTGGATGAGAACCGAAACGACAGCCTTCAGTTTAGTCAGAAGTGTGGGTATCAACAATAGATTGAGACAGATATGGAAATACGGAAACAAATGCCGTGAGTATGGTTACCAGGTAGAATGATGCATAACTAAATGTACTAAATGCACATGTGGAAGAGTCCGCTGCTCCGTTGTTCTATCGTCGGCTTTTGAAAGAGTGTGCAAACTGGTTTAGCAAACTTACAATAAGTACCTTGCACAACATTTAATTATCTAATATCTCAAATGAGTATGTCGTGACACACCTGAGCATGATGATATCTTCACAACGGGATTTGAAATGGAACCACTTAGACATGGCTGAGAAAGCAATGAACCAGTAAATCTCCATACCCATGGTGTGATTTGCAATGAAAACAGTGAGCGTTGCATAATATATATATATATATATATATATATATATATATATATATATAAACTATTCCAGCAGTGACGCCTTATTTAAGAATCATTCCATTCTTATCGCTTACATGCCATAATTCGCCGCTAAGCTGGGCGCGAAATTTACACATGTTACTGTACCCTGTTCGTATAATGTGTGTGTGTTCTGCATCACTGGTCAAAAGTATTATTTTCGCTTTGTAGACGTCTCAATCTTTCACCCCAGCTTTTGGCTCACGAAGTGTTCGGTCGACAACTGGGTACCAGCGTGGTATGTGGACCGATACCAGTCAGTTTTCGTTAGTGGATAATTTCGGTACTCGCGCACAATTTCCGACCCCGGAAACGCCAACTGGAGGTAGTCGAATGCAAAATTTTAGTCCTTTCGAGAGCAGCCGATCAGCTTTGCAATCTGTGGCCACAACCGGAGATCCGTACGATGCGGATACCCCCGTAGGACTGGAACAGTCGACCACATCAGCTTCACCCGAACAAACGCCCGATGAAGCGAGCGATTCAGTCATTTCACCGGCGACTGAAGTCGTGTGCACGGAAACCTCACTGTTTAGTTCCACACCACTGTCTGTGGAGAATCCCCGTTTGCTCGCGCAAGAACAGTTGAATGCACTTCGGGCAGCTGTGCGCCACGAATTAAGCAAGGTACTCGCTAATATCGTGGATCACGCGAAAAAGGTAAGTTCCATCGGTCGATATTATCTCTTTCTGTTATTGTTGTGAAGCAGTCGCCCAAGTTTCTCGGTCGGGTATTGACCGCATGACAGATCGAACTTGCTATACTGCTTGAAACGAGCAAGTAGTATAAATTAATAATAACTTCTGAGGGCAAGCTGCCAGCTATGGTACGTGGGAAACCGCTCAAATTTGATCAAAAAGACGGCGGATGATGCAGCGGTCTGACTACAACGGGCGTGCTTCCCATTGACCCTTTCTTTTATTAGTACTGACGCGAAAGCCCCTACTACCAACGTATTTATATATTTATAATTGAAGTTCATCACAACCAGCTTCCATATCAGATAGTCGTCCACATGCCCGGAAAAGCACTAGACTGCAGTTTCAGCCTGTTTGGCATTATTATTAGTGCGCGTCCATCGGATCCATAAGGATTCGTACCCACGACGGCTTGTACCGCAAGTCATCAGCTTATGCCACTGGGCCACGGGAACAGCTTCGGACCGTCATGATTTACAAGCTAACTGTGGTCTAGCGCTTCTTATCCTCCACTACCATGCAAGTTACGAACGTTGCAGAAGACAGCTTTGGCTCCGAAAGACACGACATCCATTAACAGTAGCTATTTACAACACAGCATTTAGAAACTGTCAGGGCGGATATATTTTGATGTAGTCATGAGTAGGGGGTTTTGATATAGATAATTGAGGTGGAGGACAAGGCGCACTATATCACAGTTGGCTTGTAGATCATGACGGTCCAAAGCTGTTCCCCGTGGCCCAGTGACATAAGCTGATGACTGACGGTGCAAGCCGCTGGGGCTCATGGGTTCTAATCCTTATGGATCTGATGGACGCGCACTACTGATGATGCCCAACAGACTGAAACGGCAATCGAATGCTTTTCCGGGCATGTGGACGACTATCTGATTTGGAAGTTGGCTGTGATGAACCTCAATTATCTATATCAAAATCCCATACTCATGAGTACATATTTATATATTGTCATAAGATCCTATGCCCCAGGTTGATGTTACGTTCAAGGCCAAATGTCACATTATGGGAGATGTTGGCTAACCAGCAGTTATTATTGACTGCCTCCACAAGCAAGTGATGTCATCCTCCATTCTCTACCCCTCTGAATAAGTCCAAAGGTTCAAGCTCCTTTCGCCCATGACTCACTTAATTGCTACAGAGCGAAGCCAGTGGACTGATTGTGCCTCCACCAATCAAGTGGCGATGTTGCACAGACAGAATACATTCTGTTACCTCAGAAGCAGCATCCTTCAAAGTGGCTATCTGATTTTTCACTCGGAAGCAATTCGTTTAAGTTGATTGGTCATCTCCACCCCATCCATATCCAGATGATTCTCTTGGTGCATGTTACAGAAACCCGGTTTGATGAACCACAGTATAAACTCAAATCTCAGTGTTGTGCGTTGTAGATCCTTCAGTATACAGAATCCGATTGTGGAAAACAAAGGGAAGACGATGGTGGACTCACCTGTGTGGCAAGATTTATTATGGTACCGGATAGCGGGAAAACCCTACTCTACCCATCAAATACTTGTTACCAAGGCCAAATGTTTTAGTTTATGGTTTTACGACATTGAATTACCACATAATCATTTTGTAATACGCTCGAAGCTATCTCGACCTGGACACGGTTATGACCTTGTTCTCGTGGGGACGATGGCCCGGCAATCTATTTTAATGGGGCCAATATGACGTCTACTGGATAAAATAGGGGAAATTCGCCTAATGCAACCAGTCCTCAGAGTCCACTACATCTTCAACATGTAAAGCTGCCCTCCGCTTTAACGTAAAACGCAAACATGTGAGACATATATATTGCCAGAAACACAGATAATGACAAACACACAACCGCATGTTGGCCATGCAAGAACATGGCACTAAATACCTGTACATATACAATCGAGCCTGTCTAAGAGGACCATTCAAGGGACCGACAAAAAGTGGTCGCCTTGGACAGGATGTTTTTGGCCGGTCGCCATAGCCGGTTGGACGGTATCATTTGCCCCAAATACAGGCGCAGCTTCTTATTCGACGAGAAATATACATCTTTCATTATGAGTATTATTATTGTTATTACATTAAAAAGCACTGATCTACCATCGTTGAGTATGCTACCTTTTTCTCACCCAGTCCAGAGTGCATCATTCTCTTCAACACCGCCACTGACCGTTCCCTCGCGTATGAATTATGCCAGATGTATTCAGCTTTATCGACACTAATGACGCATTCTCACGTACACAGCCTTTTAAAAATCCGCTTACGTGCACCTCCAATACGTCTTCACTAAGCGAAGCAGCATAGAACATGCTGGGTTTACTTTTTCACCAAAACTCACACATCCTGGTTTTCTGTCCTTCACAGAATGATTCATTGGCACAAGAGTGCCTGGAGGCGGTATGTTGCCCGAGTTATCACCAGTTTACTGACGGTTGTCATTCGAGTTTGTTCCCCTGGGATATCAACTATGCCTCTTCGATTATTTCCCCTAGATCACGGAGCTTCAGATGCAACTTATCCATGGAGCGGGATCCGAAGAGCCTGCAAAACATCACGCAATAACTTCGCTCTCCGAGGTAGCGCTGAATGAAGTCAAATGCCACAACCTGCAAGCATCGCGTCACCTGACTTCTGCATTAAGCGTCACTAACAAAATCGATGGCGCTATTCCCCTAAACAAAGGCATGTTGATCAGTCAGTCTCCAGTGCAAATCTCGGTATCAGCTGAAAATCCAACTCCGCAGTTGCAAACATTAGCGGTACCAAGCGCGATGCTAGCCAAAACCACTGCAACAACGGATACAATGGTTACCGCAAGCGCAGCGTCTGTATCTGAATTGGAATTAACAATCACGTCAGACCCAGGCCTGAGGTTATCCCAGTCTAGCGACGTTACTAGTCGCAATCCGGTCGTGAGTAGGCGGTCCACAGGTTCCAAGGTCGCTCAACCGAGGGAAAGATGGAAACCCGTCGGGGGCGTGATTCACACATCGCAGTGGCGAAACGCGCTCACGTTTGGAACGGGACACACTCAACTTCAGACGACGTGCAAGCATAAATCGACAGATTCGGTTCGACAGAGTCTGACTACTCAAACTTCAACGGACACCAACGCTGATGCAAACGTGTGTTTACCGCTGGTACGTGTTCGTCGTGATGGACGCACAGACACTCGGAGTAGTACTCGGCTTGGCAAAGGGAAGGACTCTGACACGAGGTTTGCGCCTTCGAGAGCTCAGTCAGAAAGGCCCTGCGTGCAACCGCCTCCAAATACTTCGGTACGTATTACATTTCGCTACTGGATAGGCACTCGGCCCTAATGGGGTTGCTCGAACAACCTGCCTGTGCACTGGATGTGCCGAGTAAATTCGATTATACAACTGAACATCAGTTGGATTAGTGGTTGTCAGATAGCACCTAGACCCTCGGGACTTGATTGTATCTTACATGCCCACATCATAGAGGCTGAACCCGTAACATGTAGTATCATTAGGTGAAGTTATTGTGTTCTGCTTATAGTGAATTGAATCGCTTATCACATCGCTTAGTGCGCGCTGTGTTCACACAGGTTGGCGAAACATGAACTGCTACCTCCTCATCGTAGAAGCAACATATTTTACTCACTGTCTGGTTTCATTGTATTGAACCCTATGCTTGTGATGCTTTTGAATAACTTGCTTCCCTCATGCGTTAGCGTAGTACAATCAGTGTGCGCTACGCACCACAGCCAAGTACTAGTGCTCAGTGGATCGTATCGTGATCCTGACTAGCACCTGCCCCCCGAGGGCCAAATGTCCAAAGAATGCTCGTTCGAACCTCATTATCCATTACTGCACGTGAGCATCTTTTTGATGTCCTGTTGGTATCTTCACTGACTGAGGAACATAATTTCGAGGTTACGTTGTAATCTTGTCCTATCGATTGTAGTTGAAGTTCATACGTACCCACGGACTCCGAGTACCCAGCTGTTAACATTGAGAGACGTCTGATAAGATTGTCACTGGCACGGTTGTAGCACGCCTACGATAACGGCTTGGAACGCTAGCCAGTCAAACTTATTTGCGCTGACGTGATGGCGTTTGCTTAGCTCGGGGTACGCGCAAATTTGAGAGAGCGTGAGAACGTTCCTAGCCGCACGTATTCGGTTGGACGCAGAGCCTTCGTAACGGAGGAGGCTACGCACAGGAGGGTATTACGGTAGACGCACGCTAATTGCTTAGACGTGAACGTTGCTTGGCTATCGACGCACAAAAAATCACGTGACGCGACGGAGTCCCAACTACGGCGAAGAAGAAGCAAGACAAGTGGGCCTCTGAAGGCTCTTTTACAACCAACAAAGGGCGAAATAGCCAAAACTATGTGTTATTAAGTTAGTGAAGATTGCTACCACAACGGCGTGGTAGTTTGTAAAAGAACACTGTCAAACTGTGCGCAGTTGTGCCGCGTCTTGGAGGGACTCCGAACTGCTACACTGTGGGGAGGAATTGGACTCCGCTTTCCACAGCCATTACGCCGGAGTTTATGGCGCGTTTTTGCGGGGATATTTGACGGGCCCGCAACACCAGAACACCCAGGTCGTCACCCATTGGTGTAGCGCATCTGAGTCCGTATGATTACAGTTCGCAAATAGGGAATAGCTATAAGTTGCAATGTGTTAACGCTTCGCTTGCTCTCAGTCCTAATGCGATACATGAATGAAAAATAAGTGTTCATCCCTCGCCTGAATTGACGGTTGTTTACTAATCAGAACTCGAGATTGCTGGCGCCTCACGGGAGAGAGAGAAGACCGGATAGGACGAGCGGGGGAACAATGATTGTATTAGCCAATCATACCTTTCATTGTAAATGTAACATCGAAAGTTCGTGAATGGTATTTAAGGCTCACGTGGAAAACTCCAGAGGAGTCGACTTACTGTCAATCAAGTAATGCCACCCTCGTGTCAATTGGCCTCGTCACCCGATTGGCTCTGTTCGCTCCAATCAGCGCGGGCGACTTTGCCTCACCTGCCATACCTTGGCTCCGTAACGGCGATGAGCGCCTCGGCTGTTCGCTTAGAATTTTCCTTCCCAACACTTCCCCCCTTCGAGTTATGTTGTACAATTTCAGCTTGGATTTATCTGCATGGGTGACACGAATTTGCGCCGCCGCTTCGGCCTCTGTGCTGTCCGGTTTCGGGGCGAATCAGGTAGCTGATGTGTTGGGACCTGTCGGGGAGTTTCCGCTTCACCTGCGTCGGCCAGTATGTTCAAGGTAATTGCGATGCGGGTACTTGTTGTTGCAGTTGTCCGCCAGTTCCTACCTCTAGCAGCTGATTGGCACGTCTCATCCAAATTGCCGTCTCCAGCTGGATACGGTAGATCACGCACGGCCCATAGCCCGTTTTTGATAGTGGATGCCATACTCTCTTGCCAGAACTTGTTGGTCAACATGGAAGGCTCGTTTTCGAATATCGTGTCGAATGTTAAATTGAGGTTCCATCCGAAAGTTGCGGTACAGTAATTGTTCCTTCCTGGGTCCGAGGACATCATGTGGCACACGGATTTTCCTTTGTAACAGAGTTTCAGCTGGGAATAGTGCGTTCGATGCAGCATTTTTGTGAAATCGCTTGACTGCAAACACTATAGCTAAAGCTTCTTTCTCGATCTGTCCATAGTTACGTTCCGCTGGGGTGAGTGATCTGGCTGCATGTGTCACAGTTTTCTCTAAACCGTTGTGGAAAATATGGGATATGACCGCTCCAGTTCCGTAGTCTGACGCGTCAGCAGCAACTATGATCTCCAGCTCCGGATTGAAATGCGTTAGCGATAGGTCAGAACATAATATAAACTTAACATCATCAAATGCGGCTTGACATTCAGGAGATCATACAAATTTGCGATTCTTTACCAGAAGTTCATTTAGCAGTCCTCGTAGCCGATACATTTCGGGCACAAAAGAGCTGTAATGACTGATCAACCCCAAGAATGATCTGAATTTCGCGACATTTTCAAGGGGAGGCATCTGTTTGATGGCAGTAATGTAGGAAGGATCCAGATGACTGCCATCATTGTGGATGATGAAACCAAGGTACTTTACACACTTCATGCCGGTATCGCATTTTTCTGTTTTCAGGTGGAACCCGTAGTCAGTAACGCGATGGAGAATCGCTTCCAGTCTTTCCGTCAGCTCTCGATAGGTAGACCCTTTGATTATAATGTCATCCAAATAAGCTGCGACCCCTGATAACCCAGCTAATATCGTATCCATAATTTGTTGAAAAATCCCGGGAGCTGATTCGACACCAAACCGCAAAGGGTTGAACTTGTAAAGACCTCGGTGCGTATTGATTGTCAGCAACTCCTTTGAACCATCGTCGACTTCAACTTGAAGATAAGCATCTGATATATATAGCTTTGCAAAGTAATCGCCACCACTGAGCTTAGCAAATAAATCTTTTGGATCTGGCAAAGGATACTGGTGCATTTTTAAAGCAGCATTCAACCCCGTAGAGTAATCAGCGCAGATAAGAACCGTTCCATTAGTCTTCTTGACGACAACAATAGGTGCTGCCCATGCTGAATAGTTTACAGGTCGTATGACGCCGGCTGGCTCCAAACGGTCAAGTTTCGCGTCAACAATCGGAAGCGCAGCGTATAGTGCCGGTCTTTTGGTTCGGAATACCTTGGCACCGTCCTTGAGAGTAATACTTGCTTTGGTTTTTGTGCATCTTCCCAATTCGTTGCGAAACACAGACGGGAAATTTCTTCGTAGCTGCTCGATCAGCTTATTGTTTGATTTATTCACTTCCGAAGAGGACCTCGTATATCCGAGCCGGAGAGTATTGCAGACTTGACTTAGGGGAATGTCGAGCAGGTGTAGCTTCTGGATCCAGTCGAGTCCAAGCAGATTCATAGGTGACAGCCCCGTAAGGTACACGACACCGTTTGCCCGAGCAGCGCCAAAAACCAGTTCACACTGCAGCTCATCAATAAGATTAAGTTGACCTGCTGAGGCATTAAATGCAACATGAGTCATTCGGCTAATTGACGGAGCACCAATATACTGCCAAGTTTTGCTGGAGATAATTGTGATGTCCGGGGCTGTATCCAGCTGAAGATTTACTTGTTGTCCGTTTAGGTGAACTCTGATGTACTTTCTGCGAGCCACATATTCTTCATACTAGGCCCCTTGAAGAGTACTATAGCTGCTGAATTCTTTCGAATTCGGTCGCGATGTCTAGCACGCTTGAACTGCCGTCTGGATCGCCAGTGCGTTTCCTTGTGGCCCAGCTTCTGACACTTGTGGCAAACATGTTTCAGCAGTGGACATACTCGAACGAAATACCGCTCACCACATCTCCAACAAGCAGTCGGGGACTTGGGATTCTCTCTGGGCTTTGCATGGCCAGTTTCCCTTGGAAGCGATTTCTTTGAAGTGGTTTTCAATACTCTAAGCCTTGGGGCTGACTGTTGCCTCTCCAGCATAACCGTGTCATGCTTGAGGTTTAGCACTCTTTAGCATACAGTAGGGATGGTTTAGAGAGTCATTTGCGGGTCTTGTTCAAGTTTGCTCAGCAGTCTGGTGCGAATCTCTGCATCTGGTGGGGAACGTAGGTCACAGATAAAAACCAGGCATTTGACCTTATCTGCCTTGATAGTTTTTATGCCAAACTTTTCGCACTCGGGATTGACGTAGTCGTCAGCGTCCAGATTGGTGATCTTCAGGCATTGATATCGCCTGTTGAATATTGATGCTTGCTCTCCAAATATTTGGTCCAAGTATTTGGCACTCTCATTAAAAGTGCAGTCGCGAGCGTTCTTTGGCAAAATAAAATTGGCATACCTGGAGTGCTCTGCTGTTCCAAGTTACCTTAACAGTAATCGGACTTTCCGTTATCATGGTCTCCAAGTTCAACGCGGAACACATCTACATAACGCTTGAAGCAAGATTCAAACGTGAGACCAGCATCAGGGTGGTACGAAAATTCGGTAATGCTGTTAGTGATGGCGTCTACCGATGCGGACAGCTTGACGGTTGTAGACAGTGAACCGGTCTGGATTGAGAGTTGGCGCGTAAGAGTTTCGATCAGCCTGAGTTGGGATGCCTCAACTTGTGTTTGTTGCTTCAGTAGAATGGTCTTGAGCTCGTCATCTGATATGGACATTTTGATAGGGTTAAATCCGTTTTCAGCTGATGTGGTCGTCCCTCGCCTGAATTGACGGCTGATTACTAATCGAGGCTCGAGGTCGCTGGCCCTCCATAGGAGAGAGAGAACGCCGGGTCGGACGAGCGGGGGAA